TTATTATTATTATTATTATTATTAAATCTCTCTTGGGCATAGACAGGTGGCGCTGCAAACTGCAGCATGACCGCAGCTTTCAGAGAAATGCCAGGTAACTGCAGCAAGTTCTGAGGTGAGTGGCAGTGGCAGCAGGCAAGCCACAGAGGAAGAATTATGGCAGGCCAAGGAAGCTTCTCAGAACCTGAGGTCATGAGGCAAGGTGAGGCAACCAGCTCAGGCAGCAGGATTCACAAGGGCAGGATATTTGGCCTCCAGGGAATCCATCACCCACTGCTGTTGCCACAGTAGCACTGAAGGCTGCTCCTTGAAAGCCATTTCCTCTTTGACAGCCCTCCTACCGCATGTCACCTCTGTGGTGGCCCCTTGGCGAGTAGGAGATGCTGATGGTCTCCTCCCACCCCCAGGGAGGAAATGGCAGGAGCTGCCCTCTGGGGTCTCCTGGGCTTGGCACCCACCCAGAGTGGGCTATTTTTCTGGCTTCCGTCACAGTGTCCTGTTGTGCCAGAAGCAGTTTTGTCATGCTGGCCATATGACCCGGAAGCTGTCTGTGGACAAATGCCGGCTCCCTCAGCCTGAAGCGAGATGAGCGCCACAACCCCAGAGTCACCTTTGCCTGGACTTAACCATCCAAGGGTCCTTTACCTTTTACCTTACTTCCCTTCCCACAATGGCCTTCAATTCCCACTTCAACCATCCTGAATCTTGATTTTATTTCCCCCCTTGTTCACAATGTAGATCTGCCCACTGATGGAGGAAGAGGAGTGCGGGGGGAGCGCACCGCCCCTGGCAGTGCGATCCCAGTGGGGTGCCATCGTGGCTGCACCCCTGCCCACGCTGGGTGCCACGCCCCCAAGGTGTCACACCATGCCCCGAGGATGCACGCCATGCCTCCAGGACGCATGCCTGCTCTCCACACCCTGGTGCCAGAGCATGAAGCTCCGCCACTGGATCTGCCTTCCCCTTTTTTTCTGGGTGGCGGGCATCACTTCGTGGTTTGCCCCAGGTGCCTAAATACCTTGGGCAAGCCCTGCCTGAGCTGTTGCATAATTGCTATTGCTATCTATTGGATTTAACACATTTTATGTTACAAGGCGCGTTCTAACCAATCGTATAAGCGTTGGTAGACGAACATTCTAATGGCAAGTAAGCGCATGCACTTTCAACTGTCAACAACGGTCAGTTAATACTCGGCTTTATTATTGCGTTGTCCAGTCAGTTTGGTTCTTGTTTTCCTATGAGTGAGCTGTTGTCACTCCCAATTGTTGAATAAACATAGTTGAGGAACTTATATTGCCTTGGGCTTCTGACTTTTTCCGAACATTTAACATTGGCAACGAAGGTGGGATTGATGAGCTCCCGCCGGCTGCCAGAGGCCCAAGACCGCACCACAGCACTGCCACCTGCCGCCTCGCACTAAGCGCGACCTCACCACCACGCTGGACTCAGCAAATAGTCCCAGAAACGAGACCGCGCCTGCTGCGTCTTCGCAACCACCCACAATTGCACAAGCGACTGCCCCAGGTCCGAGGATGGCTACCAGTCATAGTCGGCCGCCACCGGACTAATAATAATAATAATAATAATAATAATAATAATAATAATAATATATTATTTCTACCCCGCCCATCTGGCTGAGTTTCCCCAGCCACGCTGGGTGGCTCCCAATCTAGTGTTAAAAACAATACAGCATTAAATATTAAAAACTTCCCTAAACAGGGCTGCCTTCAGATGTCTTTTAAAGATAAGATAGCTGCTTATTTCCTTCACATCTGAAGGGAGGCTGTTCCACAGGGTAGGTGCCGCTACCGAGAAGGCCCTCTGTCTGGTTCCCTGTATCCTCACTTCTCGCAATGAGGGAACCACCAGAAAGCCCTCAGCACTGGATTTCAGTGTCCGGGCTGAACGATGGGGGTGGAGACGCTCCTTCAGGTATACAGGACCGAGGCCGTTTAGGGCTTTAAAGGTCAGCACCAACACTTTGAATTGTGCTCGGAAACGTACTGGGAGCCAATGCAGATCTCTCAGGACTGGTGTTATGTGGCCCCAGCAGCCACTCCTAGTCACCAGTCTAGCTGCCGCATTCTGGATTAATTGCAGTTTCCGAGTCACCTTAAAAGGTAGCCCCACGTAGAGCGTATTGCAGTAGTCCAAGTGGGAGATAACTAGAGCATGCACCACTCTGGCAAGACAGTCTGCGGGCAGGTAGAGTCTTAGCCTACGTACCAGGTGGAGCTGGTAGACAGCCTCCCTGGACAGCTTTTAACCTGCGCCTCCATGGACAGCTGTGAGTCCAAAATGACTCCCAGGCTGCGCACCTGGTCCTTCAGGGACACAGTTACCCCATTCAGGACCAGGGAATCCCCCACACCCGCCCGCTCCTGTCCCCCAAAAACAATACTTCTGTCTTCTCAGGATTCAACCTCAATCTGTTAGCCACTATCCATCCTCCAACCGCCTCCAGCCACTCACACAGGACCTTCACCACCTTCCCTGGTTCTGATTTAAAAGAGAGGTAGAGCTGGGTGTCATGCATACTGATGAAGACCCAGCCCAAACCCCCTGATGATCTCTCCCAGCGGCTTCATATAGATATTAAAAAGCATGGGGGAGAGGACAGAACCCTGAGGCTCGGAATTGTGAGAGCCCAGGGGTCTGAACACTCATCCCCCAACATCACTTTCTGGACACAGCCCAGGAGAAAGGAGCAGAACCACCGTATAACAGTGCCCCCAGCTCCCAGCCCCTCTAGGCGGTCCAGAAGGATGTTATGGTTGATGGTGTCAAAGGCCGCTGAGAGATCCAGCAGAACTAGGAAACAGCTCTCACCTTTGTCCCTAGCCCTCCGAAGATCATCAACCAGCACGACCAAGGCAGTTTTAGTCCCATGAAGAGGCCTGAACCCCGATTGGAAGGGATCCAAATGGTCCACATTCTCCAGGCGTGCTTGGAGTTGTTCAGCAACCACCTTGCCCAAGAATGGTAGATTTGAGACTGGGCGATAGTTGGCCATATTGGCCAGATCTAAAGATGTTTTTTTAAGCAGTGGTTTAATGATCGCCTCTTTCAGCGGGTCTGGGAATGCTCCTCCACAGAGGGAAGCATTCACCACCCCGCAGAGCCCATCACCCAGCCCTTCCCGGCTCACTTTTATCAGCCAGGATGGGCAAGAATAAAGGAGACAAGTGGTCGGTTTCACTTGTCCAAGCAGCCTGTCCACATCCTCGGAGGTAACAGATTGGAATTGATCCCATGTAACAAAACTAGACAGGACTCTAGCACTCTCTCGCCCCGGCCCTGCTTCCATGGTGGAGTCTACCTCCTTCTGAATCTGAGCAACTTTATCTGCAAAAAACTTTGCAAAAGCATTGCAGGAGATCTTGGGGTCCCAACCAGACCCTGGTGATACAGGTGGTTCCAATAGATTGCGAACCACCTGAAAGTGTCTCCTGCTGCTATTTTCTGCAGATGCAATAGAGGCGGTGAAGAAGGTCCTCTTCGCCATCGCCATTGCCACTTGGCAGGCTCGACGTTGAGCTCTAAGCCTGTGTCCGGTCTGATTCAGAATGAGTTTTCCGCCACCGGCGCTCTAGCCGTCTCAACGATTGTTTCATCGCCCCCAGCTCCAGGGAAAACCACGGGGCTGTCCGGGCTCCATGCAATTGGAGAGGGAGCTTCGGAGCCAGACAGTCAATAGCCCTGGTTAACTCCGCATTCCAGCGGGCCACGAGGGAATCAACTGAAAGGCCATCAACTTGGGATAAAACATCCCCTACCACTCTCTGGTAGCCAATTGGATCCATTAAGTGGTGGGGGCAGACCATCCGAATCGGTCCCACCTCCCTGCAGAGGGGAAGGGTCGCGGAGAAGTCCAGTTGCACCAGGAAGTGATCTGACCATGGCACTTCTTTTGTTTTGCTTTTAGTTAGTGTCAGATCACCAACATCCGTAGAGGTAAACACCAGGTCTAAGGCATGTCCGTGGCTATGAGTTGGGCCAAACTTATTCAGGGACAGGAGGCCCATGGAGGCCATGCTTTCCACGAAGTCCTGAGCCATGCTGCAGAATGGCCGCAGTGGCTCCACCGAATAAGGAGCTACGTCCGACTACAAGGCTTCACTAGGGAGGCAGACAAAGTGGATGTGCTACCGATAGTGCTGGAAGGTCTACTGGAAGGTCTGATGGCACCCAGGGACATAGAGGCATGCACTTTCCATGAGCTGACATAGGCTATGACAAGACACCTCACGTCTCAGCCAACTAAGAACCACCGCCGTTGCAACTTTGCACACAGAGAGCAACAAGCACAAGAGTCAGTGAGTGAATACATCACAACGCTCTGGGCGATTGCAATGTATTGCCAATTCACTAACATCGAGGGACTTCTCGAAAGGTTCAACAGACAGCCGTCTCTGCCGCAAGCTGCTGGCAAAAGACGATATCACGATGATGGAAGCAATGAATATGGCCACAGCCTTTGAGAAGGATAATGCCCACGAGGCGGCCCACAACCCACATAAGGAGAACTCACCACATCCAGCGAGACCGGTCGTCTTCCGTAGATTCCCACAATGAGGATGTCCACCAAGCTTTGGACCGATCCAACCGACACCACCGCTCCCAAGCTACGAGAGCATCGTCGAACCAGCGATCATCTGACGCACCTTGAGGAACCTGCTCCAGCTTCGGAGAAAACCAAGAGAGTCGGACATGCAGATCCTGCGGCTGAAAGACTTACCGGACCAGCCCTTGCATGTGAAGGACATTGCCTCCGCGACTGTGAAGGATAGGCTGTTGTCCCGCGTCTCAGACTGGGTGGGGAGGGGGTGGCCCAGGAAGCTGGGTCCAGAATTTTCATGCTACACATCCCGCAAGGATGAGCTGTCTACTCACCAAGGATATGTGTTATGGGGTAGCCATGTCATAGTCCGTCCCTCCCGTTAAGGAAAAAAGTCTTAGAAGGGCTGCATGTGTCTCACCCAGGGATTGCCCGGATGAAGGCATTGGCCCATAGCTATGTGTGGTGGCCAGGCATAGATGCGGAGATAGAGGGCTGGGTGAAACATTGCAAGCCCTGCCAGGTCTCCCGGCCGGATCCACCCAAGGCACCAGTACAGTCCTGGGAGTCCACACAGTCCCCATGGTCTCGGGTGCACATGGATTTCGCGGGGCCTTTTCAGGGCCAACACTTCCTAATAGTAGTCGACTCTCAGTCCAAGTGGCTTGAGGTGGTGCCGACCTCAACCATGTCCGCTAGATCGACTATAAACATGTTCAGGAAGCTATTTGCGACACACGGCTTGCTAGACATACTGGTGAGTAATAATGGGACCACTTTTACTTCGGCGGAATTCAAAGAATTTGTAACCAATAATGGAATCCACATTCGTTCTGCTTCTTTTCACCTGGCCACTAACAGCCAAGCTGTACGCATGGTCCATACTACAAAAGATGCACTTAGGCGCATGGTGCATGGAGACTGGACTCTCCGGTTAGCGGAGTTCTTATTGGCTCAACACATCACCCCAAGTGCAGTGACCGGCTGGAACCTGGCGGAGTTGCTTATGGGGAGGAGGCTCACTATCCTCCTTGATCGTATGCACCTCGACCGGGCTCTTGAGCAACGGCCACCCACTGTGGTGCGGGGGGCTCCAAGAGGGTTCTCCCCGGGGACACTGTGTACCTCCGACACTATGGGTCTGGACAGGGTTGGGTCCCTGGTGTCATTGCCCGCTGTACAGGTCCGGTTTCCTACAAGGTAGGGTTGGAGGGGGGACTGGTTTGGAAGAGACACATCAACCATATCAGAGCCAGAGCACCTCCGAACACAGAACTTCAAGCAGAACCAGAGGACAGAGAAATGGGTACTTTGGGAGATTCTGTGCCCAGGCCAGGGTGGGAACCAGACGGGTTGCTGGTGACTGAGTTACCCCAGCAGGGCGATTTCAGGCTGGAATCCTCAGTGGCTCCATTGGCAGTGACCCCTTCGGAGCCGGCCTCGCTGACTGCCCCACTCAGACCGCGGGTACCGGAGGAACCTCCTGGGTCATCCACTCGGGCACAGGAACCACGATGGTCCCAACGGGAGCGGAAAAGGCTGGCACACCTTGATGACTATGTTTGTTCCTTTTGTTAGGAAGTTGGGGGACGGGAGGAGTGTTATGTATTGGGTTTAACACATTTTATGTTAGAAGGTGCGATCTAACGAATCCTATAAGTGTTGGTAGACAAACATTCTAATGGCAAGTAAGTGCATGCTCTTTCAACTGTCAACGGTCAGTTCATGCTTGGCATTATTTTTGCGTTGTCCAGTCAGTTCGGTTCTTGTTTTCCTATGAGTGAGCTGTTGTCACTCCCAATTGTTGAATAAATGTAGTTGAGGAACTTATCCTGCCTTGGGTTTCTTACTTTTTCTGAACATTTAACAGCTATCACGTGCTGTTATCTCCTAACCTCAGGCAAGGCGTGATGCCTCTCTGCCCCCTTTCCCAGTATGTTCAACCAGTATAGCAAGTAGTTTTTACTAGATGAAGTCTGGAGAGGCTTGCCTGTCTTCCCAGGCCTGGTGCTGTAAGGTAAAGGTAAAGGTAAAGGTAATCTCGCTTTCAGGCTGAGGGAGACGGCATTTGTCCACAGACAGCTTTTCGGGTCATGTAAGCAGAGTTCGTCCAATGGGTCACTGGCGCTTCTGCCAAGCGGTTTGCAGTTCCTGAAAAAGTCCTCACTAGATGGCGCTGCAGAACAGCTGGATGAAAAGTGCTGCAAGCCCAGCCTTCCCCGCCCCGCCTTACCGCTGACTCTGCCACCAAAGAGATAGAGAAATTAGAACGCTACAAGCAGCCCTCCGCTTCAGGTTTCCATTTCACCTCCAATTTAGGTGGGGGAACTGATCGACCCTATGTCCTATGTCCTTTGCGTTGGTGCCCCCCCAGGCTTGGCTCCAGGCTGAGGATGCCAAGGTCCCGTATGGGCTTATTTGGCTGCAGCGGCAGCATTAAGTGACCTAATTATTAATTAATACAACAATCCCATTGACCTCTCGGCAGCTTTAATACAGCAGAGGGCTCCAAAGCCTCGCGAGTCCAGCCTACATGCTCGAGGCAGCCCCGCGAATGGCGCCTGGTGAGCAAAAGGCGCCTTCGACGGGGAACCCCGAAGTGTGGCACCGAAGTGTCGCCTCCTCCCTCTCTGGGTCCCGCCCCACCCAGGCGCTGGAGTCGAGTTCCGAGCGGGCTCCTTGCCCGCCCCGCCCCGCCCCGCGCCCCGCCCCGCCCCTGCCTTCCAGCCTCGCTAAATGGACCGCCGATGTGCCTCCGCCGCCTCGCCAGGCCGGGCCGGGCGGGGAGAAGATGGCACTGTCCAGGGGCCTGCGGTGCTGCCAGCGGGTCTTCGGCTGGGTTCCCGTCGCCATCATCACCCTGGTGGTGCTCTGGTCCTACTACGCCTACGTCTTCGAGCTCTGCTTGGGTGAGGCTGGGCGTGGAGCGACAGGGGCACGGATTCTCCCTGGGCGTCAAGCCCCACTGGAAACAGGCGGGCTTCCTCATGAGTTGTAACCGGGAGGGAAAGGCAAGGGGAGGACGCGCAGACCCCGAGCGCACTTTGCCCCCGCCCGCAGGGAGGCAGGTGGGCTTCCTCGTGGGTAAACGCCTTGCCTGGGAGTGAGCCCCTCTGAACGTACAGGGATTTCCCTCTGAGCAAAGGCAGGAAGGGGGCTGCGCGGATCCTGGGCGCACTTTGTGCCCCAGGGAGTAAGCCCCCCTAGGGCACAGGTGGGCTTCCTCCCGGGTAAATGCGACGCCGCCGAGCTCCGCATCAACTTCTGAAGGGGTGGCTGAAAACCTCCCTGCGTGTCCTTGCTGGGGTGCAGGCAAGAGCCCACTGCGCGTAATCGAGGGAGTTTGCGAGGTGAGGCGACCCCCTCAGGCAGGAGGGTCCGCCTGGGGCAGCAGATCCCAATGTCGGTCTCTCCCTCCCTCCCCCCCCCCGCGCGCCACCTCCCATGTTGTGGGTTTTCCCCGACCCCCTTCTTGCCTGATGGGGAAAGGGAAGCCACAATTTTTGGGTCCTCAGGTGCCGAAATGTCTTGGGATGGCCCTGAGTCCTTATGCTATACTGCACTGCAAGCCCTAACAGAGGTTTCGTAGTCCAGCGTTGCCCACTCAAGACACTGAGAGGGTTGTGAGCTCTCAGCAGGAGCGAGGTTGGGACAAGGGACTTCCTGGTTCTCATTTTTCAGTGGGAAGAATTCAAACCCAATGCTTCTCTCTCTCAAGCCTGACCTCTTCCTTTCCTGTTTTTGCTGCGATTCTGCCACCCTCTTGAGCCAGCCTTGATTGTGTTGCACAAAAACCTGAGGCAGTTGTATGGGGGGGGGAGATAGAGCCTGCTGTGAGGCAGGAGAACAAAGCTGCCTAGCTCTGCTAGAGAAGCTGTGGTGTTTCTGTATAAAAATAACAGTGGGTTTTCTATAGAAATGATAATCATGATTTTTTAAAAAATAAACATTACCTTGGTTTGTAACTGGCCAAACCATCGGTTTCTGTCAATGGTCAACATGCTTATTTATCACTGATCCAAAACAGATCAACCATATTTACCATCAAGTTAGAATACTGAAGATTATACTTCAGCTTGCATTCTGTTGACTTGGTTTTTATCATCCCTTCAGATTATGTTGTAGTAATTGATTTGTGAATGAAATGGTTGGCATTATAATTATTATAATATGATAGGGATAATAATAAATCAGATTTGGAAATGGTTTGTCATTGGGAATGGGGTTAATAAATCAGATTTGGAAATGGTTTGTCATTGGGAATGGGGAGGGGAAACGAGCCTGCTTAGAGGGAGGCTTGTGTTGGAATTGGGTGAAAGCAAAGCTAGTGATTTGATGCTAAATGGAGAAGAAATAACTGGTAAGCTTCAAGGCCAAGAATTTGACTCCAGGTCTCCCTGGGCAAAGTCCAACACTGTGGCTGTGCTGTACCACTCTGATAACATGCCTGCCTGCCACACCAGTTTAAAGTACAGAGCTAGTAGTTTGCAAGAATCCAAGGTGAGAGAAGGGAGAAGATATTGATGCTCATTCCCTCTCCTACCGACATGAACTAGCCGGCCTTTGGTCTAATACAGCAGTGATTTTCTTACATTATTAGGGTGGAAAGGATGATGTTTGGGAGGGTTGGTGCTCTTTTTGTGGTGAGGAGGGGAGGGAAAACTTATATATTTCCTTCCAAGATTATGCATATAGCATAGGAAATAACATACAGAAATGATATGCACTCAGGAATTCACTGTAATGCAAAGCCTTCATCAGGGCTTTCTTGGTTGTGGTCATTTCCCTGTGGAAGAGCCTTCACAGAGAAGCCCCCAATGCCTCTTATTGGGGTACCTCGGGTTACGTACTTAATTCGTTCCGTAGGTCCGTTCTTAACCAGAAACTGTTCTTAACCAGAAACACCACTTTAGCTAATGGGGCCGCCGCGCTGCCGGAGCACAATTTCTGTTCTCATCCTGAAGCAAAGTTCTTAACCTGAGGTACTATTTCTGGGTTAGCAGAGTCTGTAACCTGAAGCATATGTAAACCTGAAGCATATGTAACCTGAGGTACCACCGTATAGGTCTTTTGGTTGACATTTGGGTAAATTGGCATGATTGCTGTACTGATTTTACTGACTCTCAGTATGGTTTTATCACATTTTTGTCAGCCGGACAGGGGAGACATCAGATACATTTCAAAATAAATAAAACACATGCCTTTTAAAGCAGAAGTAGTTTCACATGACCAGTCAAGGCAGCTTCTTAAGGCCCAAACTACTGCCAGTCACCTGTAGTTCTTTCCTGTGCCCACCCTTTCCCCAAAGCATTCAGGCCAGATGCTGTCTTGAGCAAGGAGATGTGGGAGGCTGCTTTCGCTTCTGGAGATCATGCTGCTTGGTATTGCCCCCTCCCCAGCACACATGTTTACTTGTAGAAGAAACGTCCTGGTTTTCCCCAGTCTAGTCCTCACAGCTCTCCCACAGCTGCATATGTTACATATTTTGTTGTTTATGTTGCTTTTCTAAGGAAGATAAAATTTGAGTAAATATATGTGCAACTGAGCATCAGGTATAGGTTGAGCCTCCATCTTATTGAATCAGCTCACATTCCCTCCACTTGTGAATTCTTGTTTAAGAATAAACAGATCAGCATTTTTAGCACAGATTGTCCTTTAGCCTGTGTCAATGCATTCACAAAATCAGTATATACATCACTGAGGACTTGTCCATGATGAAGCTGGCACATGCAGAGGGGAAATTCACATCTCCCCCCCCCCCCCCTCTGGAGCTAATAAAGCAGGCGGAAGTAAAAATTTAAATCCTGATAGCTGATTTATCAACAACAGTACAGTGGTACTGTTAAGAACAGTTTCAGGTTAAGTATGGACCTCTGGAACGAATTAAGTACTTAACCTGAGGTACCACTGTACTGTACTGGTCTTTGATCTGCCTTGCTGGTAATACTGCCCACTGAAGTGTCTTCTTGGATCCTTTTCTGAAGTGGGTGAGAAATAGGCGTGGCACAGGCACAAACCTTTCTAGACCATTGTTGACTTGGTGAAGGTATGTGGATTTTCCGGGGGGGGGGAGTTGTGTGTGTGTCAAACATCTCAAAGTGAGATTATTCCAGGTGCTTACCCAGGTTCTGTTTTCTTGGAATGAAGGTCAGCAAAGACTGTGGTGTCTTTCAGATATATTTATTTACAGATGTATACAACCTGAATATAGGACAGAGGGCATCACAGGATTAACACCCCAACAGATCTTGCTTCTCCACTAGTCGCAGTCACAGACCCATGTGTCTGTGTCTCCTTCCAGTTCTGCCCTCAACATAATACAGTGGTACCTCGGGATGCGAACGGGATCCGTTCCGGAGCCCCATCCGCATCCTGAATAGAACGTAAGACGTGACTGCTGGGGTCGCGTTTCGCCGCTTCCGCACATTCGCATGACGTCATTTTGATCGGCTGCGCATGCGCGAGCGGCGAAACCTGGAAGTAACGTGCTGAGTTACTTCCAGGTCGCCATGGAGTGCAACCCGAAAATACTTATCCTGAAGTGTATTTATCCCGAGGTATGACTGTACTCTAGGGACGCAGGTGGCGCTGTGGGTAAAAGCCTCAGCACCTAGGACTTGCCGATCGAAAGGTCGGCGGTTCGAATCCCTGCGGCGGGGTGCGCTCCTGTCGTTCGGTCCCAGCGCCTGCCAACCTAGCAGTTCGAAAGCACCTTCGGGTGCAAGTAGATAAATAGGGACCGCTTACTAGCGGGAAGGTAAACGGTGTTCCGTGTGCTGCGCTGGCCTGCCAGAGCAGCGATGTCACGCTGGCCACGTGACCCGGAAGTGTCTGCGGACAGCACTGGCTCCCGGCCTATAGAGTGAGATGAGCGCACAACCCTAGAGTCTGGCAAGACTGGCCCATACGGGCAGGGGTACCTTTACCTTTACCTATGACTGTACTCTAGCTATTGTTCTCCTATCTAACAGTTAGGGGGGGGGGAGGAAAGGCCCCACCCATTACATTATTGTCTTACAGAGAAACTTGTCTGGCCAACCTCCTCCATTAGATTCTAACCCTCACTGGATATTGTACCCCACGAATTGGAAGGGACTCAGTGCATCATCCAGACTGAGCTCCCCAAACCTACAACATAATTAAGAAGAGGCAAGCACACCAGTAGGTAATTATGGAAATGTGCAGAAATCCTTCCTCTCCACTATTTTCTGAGCCTCTAGCAGAGTCTGCTTAGACATTGTCAAGATTTTCTCCACAGTTGTAAGAGCTAGCAGTCTTCTTCAACAGAGCATAGGGTTTTCTGAGCTGGGGTTCATGCATAGATTTGGAGCCATTTGGTCTGCTGTGAGTCAAGACTTGGGCTGGTTAACCCTTGCTGGAACTAGTGATTACCAAGGATGTATAGCTGCAGCCCAAATCACCTGCCTGGCTTGTGAATAAAAAATGTGTGTGCTGTGATATTGTGCTGCTGTGAGTGTCCCCAACCCACACCAGCTTCAGTTCTTAGGCTGCCGTTTGCAAGGCTGAGAAACTAGAAGCACAGTACAGTGGTACCTCGGGTTAAGAACTTAATTCATTCTGGAGGTCCATTCTTAACCTGAAACTGTTCTTAACCTGAAGCACCACTTTAGCTAATGGGGCCTCCCGCCGCCGCCGCACGATTTCTGTTCTCATCCTCAAGCAAAGTTCTTAACCCGAGGTACTATTTCTGGGTTAGCGGAGTCTGTAACCTGATGCATCTGTAACCTGAAGCGTCTGTAATCCGAGGTACCACTGTAATGACTCTGAAGGGGAAGGAAGGCACGGGGTGGCAGCTTTTGGCAGCAGCCATACATCCTCTTTGTTTACTAGTACAGTGGTGCCTCGCAAGACTAAATTAATTCGTTCCGCGAGTTTTGTTGTCTTGCGA